TATACTGGGTCATAGAACTTATCAAGTACTATGCTAGGTCATAGAACTTATCAAGTACTGTGCTAGGTCATCAAACTTACCAAGTACTGTGCTAGGTCATCGAACTTAACCAAGTACTATGCTAAGTCATAGAACTTGCCAAGTACTGTACTAGGTCATAGAACTTAGCAAGTGTACTGGGTCATAGAACTTACCAAGTACTGTGCTAGGTCATAGAACTTACCAAGTGTACTGGGTCATAAAACTTATCAAGTACTATGCTAGGTCATAGAACTTACCAAGTATACTGGGTCATAGAACTTATCAAGTACTGTACTAGGTCATAAAACTTACCAAGTGTACTGGGTCATAGAACTTACCAAGTGCTGTACTAGGTCATAGAACTTACCAAGTGTACTGGGTCATAGAACTTATAAAGTACTGTGCTAGGTCATAGAACTTACCAAGTACTGTGCTAGGTCATAGAACTTACCAAGTATACTGGGTCACAGAACTTATCAAGTACTGTACTAGGTCATAGACTACTATATAGAGAGGTGGAAGGGGCCTCAAAGGCCAACTTGCCCATTACACAGATGAGGAATCTGAGCCCCAGGTAATAAGCATTAGGGGTAGGATTTGAACCCAAGCTCTCCAATTCCAAAATCACTCTTTGGGGAATGCATATATCATCCATGCCCTGCTCTTAAGAAATGTTTTAGGGAAACAACAGAGACAGTGAGAATGATTCAGCCTCTCAGGCCTTGAGTAAGCTTGTGCCGTGGACGAGATGGCGTACGAGGAGGTGCCGGGTGTGAGTAGTGCTACGCGATCTTCGGAAGGGGAGACCTCAGGGGGCCTGGGCTGTTGAGGAGCCTTTGGTGGCCATGACCCAACACGGGCCTTGAAGAATCTAGACTGTGACTGAGGGCGCCCCTCCAGGGGCTCGCTGGACAGCTCCCCCCGCCCCGAGGTGACCCGCCAGACTGGTCTCCTCCTAGAGCCTGCCCCGTCCCTCGCACTTGCAACCTTGGCATCCTCCTTTGGCCTTTCCGCTTGTCCCTCACGCTGATCCCATGTGGCGCTGTGCCTTTGTCCTTGTTCTTCGTCCTGTTTGTCAGGCTGGGTCACCCTCCCCCCCTTACCCGGCCTAGAAGTGAAGCAGCCCCTCGTGCCCTGTGCCAGCGCCAATCAGCCCGGAACGTTTAACCAGCTCCGTTTTTCTGACCTGGGCTGGTGGCCCTTCCTCAGGCAGCCTGGCAGCCCTCCCCTTGTGGGGACTCCCACATTGGTGCCCCATGGTGCGTCTGCACCCTCAGCCCGCCTGCAACTCCCCGCTCACACGATTGCCAGCTTCAGCCGCCCCCAGGGGCACCGTCACATGGAGCCTCCACGCCTTTCCATGCCCTTCCCCTTGGAACGTCTCCCCGGCTCCTCTCAAGAGCTTCAGCTTAGGGTGACACCCCACTCCCCGCCCAGAAACCTTCCGTGGCTCCTTGTTGCCTCCAAAGGCCACAATCTCAGTTGGCATTTCTGGCGCCCATCCCCAGGCCATGCAGAGGAGGAGCCTAGGGAGTGTCCATTAGTGAGAAGGGGAGAGAGAGAGACAGAGACAGAGACAGAGATGAGGAGAGAGACACAGAGAAAGAGGAGAGAGAGACACAGAGAGAGAGAAACAGAAAGAGAGAGACAGAGACGAGGGGGGAGAGAGAGACAGAGACAGAGAGAGAGAGAGAGAAAGAGGAGAGAGAGAGAGAGAGAGAGCGAGAACAGCAGAGGCCCAGCCTGCACAGGCACTGAATGGTGGGTGGGCCAGGAAAGGCTCTGCAGTTTTGGGGCTGCGTGTTCTAACATGATGATCTGGGTCCTGCTCCTTCCTTCTTGCACATTCTCATTCCAGGCACCGAGACTCTCCGAGAGTCTCTCTTGGGGCTCACCGTCTATGGGAGCAACGATGAAGATCCTTACGTTACCCTCAAAAATACGGTAAGTCCTAAAGCGAGTGTCCCCGAACGCTCATGAGATGGGATGCTCTGGATTCGCTTCTTGCCTCCAAGACACTTTTCTTCTGCTACTTTCGCCCTCAGGACCAGTACGAACACGAAGACTTCCTGATTAAGCCCGGCGACAACCTCATCGTCTGCGGCAGGGCCGAAGACGACCAGTGCAATCTGGAGATCCACGGTGAGCGAGCGCCTCGCCGACTGCCCCCTGGGGTCTGTCCTGGCGGCCGGTCAATGGGCCGTCGGCCCGGCCCTGGTCGTGTTCTCCCAGACCTCGGCCTCTCTGGACGCGCCCCTGGTCTGGTCCCTCGTGGGGTTCAGTGGGTGTTGTCCTCCTGGAGGCCTGGGCTGCTCTGTCAGGAAGCTTTCCCTGTGGGAGCTTAAGGTCATGGGCACTCGAGCTAGAAATGACCTCTGAGATCGTCTGGGCCCTCACGTCATAGCCAGGAAACTGAGGCCCAGAGGAACCTAATGGCCTGTCTGAGGTCACAGCAGCTAGAAGGGGCAGGATTGGAACCCAGAGCCTTTCCCCTAAAGCAGGCTGCCTGTGACTTATCAAAAATAGAGTCCTTCTAGGCCTTCATCTTACAGTCAAGAGATTGAATATTTATTACAGGAGACACATTTATGGTTTTGTGTTTGCTGCACACCAAGCGTCAGCGTAGTGGTTGAGAGCGGCCACGAGGAGTCTCTAAGACTCTGATGCTGGTGGCTTTGGCCTCTGCCCCCTTGCACAGGGAGCTGGCGGGTCACCAGTACTGGGTCTCTCCAGTGTCTCTCCTTTCCCTCCTGTTTTCACTCCTGACACCCGAGGACAGGCCCCTGTCCCCCCATTCCTGGTCTGTCTCACACGTTCTGTGCTCCCTGCCGGGTTCCTTTCCTAAAGCTCTGATGGTGTCCCTCCCCTGCTCACGATCCTGCAGCGGCTCCCCGGGTGCCCGCCAGATGCTCTGGGGTCGCCCCAGGACGGCCTCCCCCTGTGCTCCCAGCCCTTGTGACCCTGCTTGTGTCCATTGGCTCGTCGTCACCCCCTTGATGAGAGGCTCTGGCTTCCTCATCTTTGTGAACTGCCCCGTAGCTGTCCAGAAAGCTGAGCCCCTTCTAGGAAGCGTGCCAAGTGAAGGCCACCGCGGAGACGGGGGCAGGGTCAGCACGGGGGCTGGTTAGCGCCACATCACTTAACAACCCAGCCACCATTTTCTCATTTGAAAAACAAGAGTAACCTCGATTAGACATAACGTACCACCAGTATGCTGACTTGGGAAGAAAAAGACTTTGAACGCCTCAAGGTGCCATAGTCACATGGGCTGTTACTAGGATCTGAGCTCTCAAGCTGGAAGGGACCTTCGATGCCATCTAGAACAACCCTCTCCACTTTACGGATCAGGAAACTGAGGCCCAGAGAGGAGTGACTTGGCCAGGGTCACACCAGTCAGTCCTGTTCTGACCTCAGTGCCAGGACGCCTCAGGCCACGCCCCAGTCCCTGGTCATCCCTTTCACAGATGCTTTAATCCTCCATCTCCTTGTCCTTCGCTGTCCCTGCCCTGCTGGGTGACCCCTCCCCAGCTCTGGTACTGACACTCCCCCCTCACCCTGGTGCTGGGGGCTCCTCCTCTTCATCTCTCATCCCCTCCCCCTTCCCTGCAGCGCTGGTCCAGGCCACTTAATCCGTGCCTCTTAAGCTCCCAGGTCATGCTGGGCATGGGCAGCAGACACAGACACCGAATCAGGCCGTCCCTTGGGCCTTGACCTCCCCCCACCTCATTTATACATCCCCTCTCCTGGCTCTTCCCTCGCGCCTGTAAACGTGCTCGGGTCTCCTCGAGCCGCTAAGCCAGGGCTTCCTCACCGTGTCTGTGTCACGGCCCCCTTGAGCTTCAGGCTGGTGACGCCCGCGGAGCCTTCTCAGGTTGTCCTGGTTTTAAATGCATAAAACAGAATGCGTAGGATTATAAAGAAAACCTCATAGTCACCAATATTTCAGAAGGCTCAAGTTCACAGACCCCGAGTGAAAAACCCTCTAAAACAATGAACATCATCCCTCACCCTCTCCACCCCCCAAAAAAAGAGCCTTCCATTGACCTCTTCTGTTATTGAGTCATTTCGGTCCTGTCTGACTCTCCATGACCCCATTTGGGGTTTTCTTGGCAGAGATGTTGGGGTGGTTTGCCATTTCCTTCTCCGGCTCATTTTATAGATGAAGAAACTGAGGCAAACAGGGTGAAATGACTTGCCCAGGGTCGTACAGCTAGGAAGTGGCTGAGGCCAGATTTGAACTCAGGTCTCCCTGACTCCAGGCCTGGTGCTCTCTGCACTATGGTGCTCCCTAGTATCCCATGTTAAACTAACGTCTGTCTTCTGTTTTGGAGCTCAAGAAAAGCAGTGTGGAATAGTGGAAAGGGCTTGGTTTGGAGACCTGGTTCCAGCACTTCTTAGCTATGTGACCCAGGGCAAGTCCTTGAACATCTCGGAGCCTCAGTTTCCCCACGTGTAGAAATAAATTGATCCCTGGGCAAAGCAGTGTGGAAATGTCAGTTGTAAGAGCGTGCATCTCAGGCTAGCCACGTGAGGGCCCTGGGCAGCCAGGTCCTTGGGATGGTTCTTTATCCAGTCACCAGATCAAAGATTTAGAGCCAGAAGGAAATTTTAGCCAAACTCTTCATTTTACAAATACGGAAACTGAGGCCCAGGGAGAGTAAGGGACTTGCCCATGGTCCAGGTCACAGGGAGTGCCAGAGACAGGATTTGAACCCACATCCTCAGCCTCTAGAAACCCTACCCCCTGTCCCACATCACTACATCATGGTGCCCAAAGCCAAACACTGGTTAAGGAGGGGTGATACAGGGATGACCCCTTAGCAGAGGCCCCGCGTGGGAGGGATCCGGGAGGTTCCTTTTCATGGTGACAATGGTGAGCATTTATGGAGCTCTTTAAAGTTGACTGAAATATCAGATCCTCACCACAACCTTGGGAGGTGCTGCTTCTGTCACCCCCATGTTGCAGACGAGGAGACTGAGGCAAACGGAGGTTAAGTGGCTTACTCAGGGTCACACAGCTAGTAAATGTCTGAGGCCGGATTCGAACCTGGGTCCTCCTGACTCTGGGCCCAGCACTCTATCCACGAGGTCTTTCCTTAGCTTGTTGCTGTGAGGAATGCTGTGTACGTGATAGGTCACACACTAAGGCTTACTGCTTTCCTTCAGAGAGTCCCAGTCTGGTAGTGCAACTTTACAGAAGAGGAAACTGAGATTCAGAAGTTAGTGACTTGCCCTGAGTCACCCAGCTAGAAAGTTTCAGGGGCAGGACTTGAATCCAAGTCCTCTGTGCTCTTATGTGGCTCCAGCTGCTCCCCTCCCCTCCCCCACCATCGGCACCCCGCGCAGCTGAGGGGGGTGGGTGCTGCTGACTTGCCCTAAAATGCGCTTCCCCCATCCTTCCAGTGTATAACCAGGAAGAAGAATCGTTTTACGTGCATCACGACATTATCCTGTCTGCTTATCCTCTGAGTGTGGAGTGGCTGAATTTTGATCCCAACCCTGATGAAACCCCTGGTAAATATGGCGCATTTAACCCGTCTGAAAGAGGGTTTCTGTGGCTGGGAACGATGCTGCCCGAGGAGGACACCGTGGGCTGTACGTCTTCACAAATCTCGTTGCCGTCTGTGCCTTGCGGACGTGGGCATTCGTGTCTCGGCTGGCCTGTCTTCTGGGTTTGGGGGAGGGTGGCGATGCATTGGCCGGATTGTTAGCAGAAGGATGGTAGCCGTGAGCAGGGCCTGGGACAGTGAGGGGCTTCAGGCAGCCTCGGTGGGAAGCCCCCAACCGGTGCCTTTCGGTGTTGTTTAGGTTCTAGACCCCCAGACTGCTGGCCCCAGCAGCAGCATCTGCAGTAACCCCGAGTGACCAGGCTCTTTTTATCAGAAATCACTAACAGAAGCTAATGGACCCAGCCAGAATCGCTAACAGAAATGGGCTCTGGGTGCAGACCCAGCTGCAAACCTAGGGATATCCCTGATTGTCAGCTTCACCCGTGCATGTGCAGTGAATGTCGCGTGCCCGTCAGTTTCAGAGACTAGCAGCTGTATCAGTAACTGACATGTTCTTAGGTGCCCATGCTGATTTGGAAAGTGTTAGATGTCAGTCACCTTTCTGCACCTCTGAAGCCAGCCCATGAATTTTAGCTGCAACACGCTCTGCTCTTTCAGGAAACTATGTGGCCGTGGGCACAATGTCCCCCGTGATTGAAGTGTGGGACCTCGATATCGTGGACTCTTTGGAGCCCGTGTTCTCACTTGGGAGCAAAGACAGGAAGAAGAAGAAAAAGAAGAAAGGGAAAAAGGTAAAGAGAAACATTGAAAGCCCTGAGAGGATGGCAGGCAGGCTGGCCCAGCCCCCGTGGGCTGTCCTTACCGTGGCCAGTGTCATTACCAAGGGCAGGCTTGACTTCTGATGAATTTGAGGAGTAGCCCCCTTCTCTGAATGCCTGCCCTTCTGGGCAGCAGTCTCCTTCCCTGGGCAGCGGCCTCCTCCACTGGCTAGCGGCCTCCTTC